AGTCTTTGACCACCGTTGCCGACGTGAACACCTCATTGAGGAAGTCCTTGGTGAGCTCAGGAAACTCCGCCGTTTTGTTTGTCACCCCAAACTTTCCCCCATGATTGAACGCGCCGTAGGTGACGTACTTTCCTTCCCTGTTGGTTTCGTCCTCAATGAGCTGGGGTCTTGTTGGAGGCTTGGTTGAATCCGCAGCAATCAACTTCATGATTTCCTCAACAAGCTTCTTTCTTGCCTCAGCCCTTTCTCTTCCTTGTAGTTTTCGAAGGGCTAGGCCATCATCGTCCACTGGTGTCTTTGATATCAGCCTTCTCCTTGGCGGTGGCTCAAACTGAATAACTGGAGCTTCCGCTGAGGTTCCAGGATCACGTAGTCGAGGTCGGATGCGTGTCGCAACGGGAATCCTCCCAGCTTCTTGGTCTAGGACTGCCGAACCATTCTTAACATCCCACACCGGCCCCAAGTAGATTCCCTTCACCCAGCGCGGTAGTAGATCGTGTTTTCCTCCGTCCTTGTACCGCTTCTTCTTTATCGCAACCTTTGCTCCATACGGGCAAGGGGGCGTAAACTTTTCTGGTCTTAGTCGATCTTCTCGTTGATGATGGGCAGCTGTGATCATTGCCGTGGCCCAATGTGATGGACCAAGCCCTGAGGACCTCAGCATCAAGCGCGCCTTCCCTTTCAGGAAGCGCACTGCCCTCTCTGCCGTTCCGTTCGACTGCGGTGCTTGCCCTTCGGTACGCGTGAGAAGAATACTATTGTTGAGGGTCCACTCCCGCAAGCCTGGAGATCGAAGTTCATGGGCACGATCTGAATGTATACGCACGACCATACGCACGACCGGTAGGTTCTCCATTTTCAGCTGGAGCACTATTTCCTGAATCGATTGCATAACCTGCTTGCTCTTCTTGCCCTTCAGCGGTTTGACAAAATACAAATGATCAACCGGTACTTCGCGATTCCCTTCAACCTCATGTTCTTCACGTTGTTGTATCCCTGCTTGCTCATCGTCATCCCACAAGTAGTCCCCTGCCGTAGACTTTCTCACAGCCACTTCCGGATCGCCCTCTGAAGCTTCTGATGGTTCGTAGCCCTCTAGGTCTGGATCCTCAAGGTTGAAGTGCAACTCCTCGTGAGAGTCAAACAACTCCTTATTGATCTCCTCGAGACTCCCTTTATCCACTTGAAGCTCTCGAGGAGGAGGGAGTGGGTCCGAGTCAAGGTTCTTGAAGTCGAAGTCTACAGGCGCAAGATCTTCAGGAGGTGTCTCGTCTGGAGGCTCCATGTCATGAAACCTTGGTTTCGAGTACGAAGCTGCCAAAAAGTAGCGATATCCATATCCATGTCCATCTCTAGACGCGGCACGAAGAGGACCACCAACGTCCACCGACAGCACATAGGCAGACTTTTGATTTGTCCGCCTGTGTGGGCGACCTGTTCCAAGCGACATCACGCACTGCTCACAATCCTTGCGGTAGGGGACATGGTCTCTTTGTAGATGTAGTTGCCAGCCTTGCTCCTTTGTGAGTTTGCGCCACTCCAAGGTATCACCCGGATCCCCTCGATCCCTTCCGTCTCCAATGCCTTGAGCCCTAAGGCCATCCACAATTGCCCGTTTCAAACCCGGGCACCACCTTGTTCTGGACAATGTTGTATAGGATGACCTCTCCGGAGTTGTCAGCCTCTCATCCACCAGCCCGTCCAGGTACTTCAACTTCACATTCTGTAATAGCCTTGTCGGGGCTCTTTGTGGGTGATGTAATCCTCCTTGGTCAAACTCCACCTTCATGATCCCGGCGTCCTTGACGACGTCCTCGAAGTTCTTCATCATCGGGGCCTGCCACATTCCTTTGTTGTCTCCTGTGCCTCCCATCACGAACGCCGGTTCTGCCCCTTCAGACGCCGTAAAGCTCACCAGGTACAAGAAAATCTGCTTGGCCATCAACTCCCACTCACACCAGTGCTTGTAGCCATTGAAGCTGTCTGTCGTAGGTGGCTCACACCGGGCGATCTCTTTGGAGGGCGGGGCACCAAGGATTCCCTTAACTCTTGAAGTCATTGCACCCCACAACAAGGCCTTGTAGGCTTCGCCCCTGATATTCCAACCTGCATCCATCAGCGCATCCACATTGATCACCACAACCTCGCCAGGTAATCTCGATCGGGTACTTCCGGAGAGGGTCTGCAGCGGGTCGTTCTTCTTACTTCCTCTGCTGAACATGTTGAGGATCCACGTGGTTGACTTCAGCAGCCTTTTTCTCATTCTCCTCGGCAAGGGAAGTTTCTTCATCATTTCCCAGACGGCTTTCGTTGACAGCTCCATTTCTGGAACCATCGATGTTCTGATACCATCTGGTAGTTCACGGAAAACGGGTGATGTGTACAACGACTGAAGTCCATCCACCATGCGGCCTTCCTCTGTATACCTAGCCAGCAAGACTCTCCAGTCCGCATCCCGCACCTCCATCATCTTTACGGCGTTGAGTTGGTGATAAAGTTGGTCCGTCTTCCTTCGAAGTTCCTCCACCTGCTTCATCTCCAGCTCCGTGATCAGTGCAGCTGCCTGCGCTGCGTCCGTAATCTCGGGGCAACCAGACTTTATTCTTATTTTTATCTTCCCATGACGAGGATGATGAAGATGTATTCCTCCTCGGGTCCACCTCAAAGTGCATCCTAACACCTCGATGACCTTGCCAAACGGGAGGATCGTCTGCGCCATGGCCTGGGCCTTTTCATCCACGATGATACTCCCGGCTTGCGTCTGGTGTAGACAGTTCTTCTCGTCCCCGGCCAAGGTTACAAATACTTCCTTGCACTTTGTTCTTTCCTCATCATGCCTGGCTGGACGAAGAACGTGGGTAGATCCTGAGTCTAGAAGGACTCCCTTCCCTTCATCATCGAGGTCCTCCTTCTTTTCGACTTTCATTGCCCGAAGTTTCAACTCGTCCAACTGTCGCTGTATCGACTCGTAAGTAGGTGCTGTAGACGAAGAGGAGGATGCCGCCGTAGGACTGCTCGCCATCATTGACTTCAGCATCCTTGAAGCGTCCGCAATCATCTGCTTCAAATCCTCCGGTTTCTCCTCTGTTGTTCCGGTACTCGAACGTGCCGTAGGGGAAGAAGCTGGTGATGGTTCTGCTGCTGGCTGCGGTGCCGCCTGCGGTTGCTCCGTTGCCGTAGTCATAGTCTTCGCTGTAGCTTGAGTGCTTGCACCCCCGGCGGGTTGCTCTCGTCCCCTCGGCGGTTTCTGAGCTGCACTCTTGTCCCTTGTTGGGCAATCCTTCTTCTGACGCCCTGTCGCGGAGCAAGTCAAGCATCTGCCCGACTTGGACACCTGACCCCACTCGTGGGCATAGGTGCAGTCTGCACCCCGCCTACATCCACTTTCCGATTTCGCGAAGTATTTACACGGTCTCGACGTCGGAGTGGAAGGTGTAGGTGGCGGCGCCTTCGGTTTCTGCCCCTTCTCGCCTTCTTGACTTTGGCCTTGAAGTCCTCTTATTTTCGGAGGTTTCTCTGGAGCGCTCTTTGCATTCTCAGCGGCGCTCGCCGTAGAGGAGGTTGTCGATCTCGGTTTCGAGCCCGTTGCCAAGGCCTCCGTCTCGGCGAGGAGGTGCCTGTGGAACGACAAGACCGCCTGCTCCGTAGGGTTGGTGTCGAGCTTAAGGTTGTTCCGGATTAGCGAAGTTCTGAACGCCGCCTCCGGGTAGTTCTCCATGACACCCTCCGTCATCGAAGTCAACGCTCTGAGCAGGACCGTAGGGTCTGCGGATGATACTCCTACGTCTGCTGCGCGCCTGTGCCAACGTTCCCAGTCTCTGAGCCCCTTTGCTGCCTTAGCGGAATCAACTTGCTTCGCTGGAGCTTGAAGGTGATCCAGCACAAGTCGCTTCTCCCCCTCGCCCCCAGGTTGGTAGAGCGTGAGCACTCTGTATAGTATTTGTGAATTTTTGTGAGGTACTTTGAGTGGATTTTCTCATTACCAAGTCGGCTTTGACCGTCTCGTCCAACGCCATGAGGTAGAGGCAGCGCGTGAGTTGAGGCGAGCAAACTTCCCTTCTTCCAACTCCTTCGCCCTCGGTGCCCTCATTGACAACCGCTCCATTGGTGTTGCCGCGGCCCACTCCTGATACGCAGCTTGAGCAAGCTCTTGTATCCTGCGCCACTACTCCGACGAGTTGTCTGAAAGATCTGACATTGGAGCTTGTAGCAACTGAAGCCAGTCCTGAATCTCCACCGGGCTGGTGTCGGGGTCCGGAGCCTTCAGCGTGGGCAATGTCGACACCCCTGGCTTCACTGGTTCTGGCTCTTCAGCGGACCCTTTCTTCTGGAATGACGCTCAAGAGATCTAAGGAGGTAGGTTCTCGCTGCTCTGTCCTGTCTTGACCTTCTTGGGTTTGATCCGTGGACCCGAGTCTGTGGTTGCCCTTCTGGTACTGATTGCCCGATGCCCACTCTGAAGTCCTGCGTCTGGTACCCGATGCCCACCCTGAAGTCCTGCGTCTGGTACTCGATGCCCACTCTGAAGTCCTGCTAGAGCTTTCAGAGTCTGTCACATGTATTGTTTCAGTTCTTGTGGGCAGGGGAGGGGTGGCAGCAGTGGTATGGTTCTGGGACACTTGCTAAGGTTCAACATTCAATTCAAGAGCTGGGAAGGAACAGTTAGACCAACACCCGGCGCACTTGTCGAGCCCGGGTGGGCCTCAGATCCCTTGAGGCCTTGAGGAAAGTAAACACTCTCATTAATTTCGTTCTTGAAGGCTTTTGACGTCGGTACTCTGGGTTTGATTCTCAACCACTCGGGACTGGAGCTCAGCTTGGCCCCAATTTTCCGAACAACAAGGCAAACGCTGCAGGATGGAGGAAATCGTTGCTGGACGATCATTGTGGCTCTTCCAAAGCTTCCAGTCAGGGCATTCGCTCTCCAGAGCCGACACTGCAAATCGGAATACTTTGAGCAGACATGCAGGCATGCAACGCATTTACATCATCAGTTGACCATGCCTACCCACAATGTGTGCCGATGCTTCCTTTGTCGGAAGCTGGCAACCGCGAGGTCCGTTCTGACAGACTTCACCATCAACGCCGTGGCTTTAGATCTCTTGTTGGCTCGCTTCGGCAAGAGTGGTCTGCCGCAGTTATGCTTCACGTGCTCCAACATTTTTCGGGCAGCTTTGTCAAAGCTGGATTCGGTCATGGAATCGCCACTTGCGCAGCACATGGTCTTGACGGCACAGGCATTTGCAAATCGCGACCTTTGGAGAGGCATTCCGGATGTGGGGGGCCGACAACACACCGGCTTGCTATTCTCCTCGACCTGCAAGTGGGAACCTGTGCTCGGCCGCACCGCCCGGACGGCCCGGCGAGCTGTACATAAAGTCGTACCGAACCAGAAGTTCCAGGCTTTGTCGGACAATTACAAAGTCGCCACAAAAGCAAACAAGAGAAAAGGAAAGAAAACGTCCACGACGACGACACCGGTTTGTAGTTTGGAGGCACTTATCTCCACCACAACTGCCTTCGCTGCACCCTTTTTCGAACTGATGGTGCAGGCTCTGGAGTTTGACAGCGCCACCAAGTCGAACGCCGTGGGCCTCTTATCGGCGAACTGGGCCACGGCGCACGGAGGCGGCCGGGTTATCAATGGTGTTCTGTTCGGCGGCGCACATATCGTGGCGGAAGATATTTCTGACCTTCGCCGCTCCAACGACAAAATTCTTGGGTCGCACTACGCGTCTGCACGTGCCAATGAGGTCTTTGGGTGCCTACTTTGCTTCAGCTGCTTTGGAGATGCAATACTGCAGACAAGTTGCCAGCCACCCCAGTCCAGTGACAAAGATTTCATTCTCGTCGACCCAGATGCATCGTTTTGGCGCTCAATGCGGCATAATTTCCAATCGGACCCTGCAAGATTGCAGCGGTTCCTTTTCAAACTATGCGAGCTTCGAAAGGCCAGCATGGGCACCCGCAAGAACTTCCGAGCAGATTGGCAATGCCCGCAAAAGCGGGCCAGGTGGTTGGCCCAGAACACCGAGCACATCTGTCCATGCTGGAAACGAAGCAGCGATGAGCATCTCCCTCCGTTTGCAACAGTCGACTGGAAGACAGGCGGCGTGGAAACAGCCATGCAAATCCGAGAAGAGGCTTTGGCCCATGCAAACAACACGCGCAAGTCCGGCTATGCTACCGGGTTGTCACTTCGGCAATGGTTTTTTTTGTGATGCATTGATCGTCAGTGGAATGTCACGAAGACACGTGTGCAACTTGCATGAGTAAACATTCCATATCAAATGCCCAGGTTCCTAAAGCCGTCGATACAACTTTTGATCTAGCTTAGTCATCGCAAGCAGAAGCGGTGTCCTCTTGCGAGCGCCTGAGGTTCTCAGTTCGGAAGAATTCGGCGAAGCTATGGCCCGTTGGCGGCAGCGTTGGGAAGCGGATCAAGGCGAAGGGAAACGAAGCCGCGATGCTTTCCATAGTTTCGTGCACACGTGCTTAGGGCACCGCACACTGGCCCGTGCCATCGTCCAATTTGGTTTCTCATCGCGGCAGCAGCTCATCACAGCTTTGCGCCGTGCCGAGGATTGGTGCGTGGCACAGCGGACAGCACAAACGGGCAACCCAATGTCGCTGTTGGAAACGTATTTCAGGTACCGCTGGTACGGCTGAACCGCCGGAAGTGCGAAACGCATTGGGCTTGTGTTAGTTCCATGGTGTCTGGCATGACATTGATGGTTGTTGTGGGGCAGTTTCAATGACCGCCTTGCTCACCGGTTTTGGAGTTTGGGTTGATTCGGCATCCCACCATCAAGGCCACAAATGCAAACGCCTGCGCAGACGAACTTCGCCCTGTCAGCCGGCTCCTCGCGCAGTTGTGAAGCTACAAGACGGCATCCAACAACGACCTGCCTCGACTTAGCTTTGAAATTCCGGACTCTGAGATTGTGTCGGGGGTGTGTTGCGGTGGACATCGATGGACTGGAATTGCAGCAGGCCTCCAGTTTTCGAGGAATAGATAAGGGGGTGGATCGGCGACGCCAAATGCCAGGCGCCCGATTGCCTGTCGAACTTCGCACGTCGGTTTTGACACATCGCAAGTAATGGCCGGTTGCCGACAGCTTCTGGCAAAGGCAAAATTGCTGCAAAGGGTCGTTCAGCTGGAAGCGGAACTTGCATTGCTTGGGCACCACGATGCGATCCTCCGGCGAAACCATTGAAAGCAGGCCTCGTCGACACGAATAGAGTGGAAAACTGAATCAAGAAAGCGTTCGGCCCCAAATTCGTATACTTAGATTTCATTTTCGGATTTGACATTGCAGATCGCCCTCAGCCTTTGCTTGGTGGAGGAAGGTGCCAGTGCACGCTTGCATCTTTCACATGTTTCAGACCATTTGGCAAGAACCATGCCCGCAGCTGTGGGACCTGGCGTGTGTGACGCCTGTGTCGCATGTGGACAGTGGACATGAGCCCCACGACATGGGGCGGTTTATGGCTGTTTGTTAAGGCCCTGGCCAAAGAATCACCGTACACCAAAACGCGTTGCGCCACCTGACAACTCCCAAATCCTATGCTTATTAGGTGCTGCTATTTTGCGGTTGAGACGTCCTTTGCACGGCTTCACATCCCTGCGATAATCCGGAGCGTGCTTGGCTGAGCACTGGCAGTGTAGAGTGTAGAGCTTGTAGGGTAGGGTTGCTGGGATGAGCAGTCGACCGGACAAAAAACAGGGCGCCTTGCGATGCGTTTTCAGGGCTTGGGCTCGGGCCCAAGAAAGCTAAAGACCCAAAGATTGAGGCAGGGGCCCCAGAACCAATTGGAAGGGCGCAGCTGGGGCGGCGCTTCTTGAGAGCATAGGGCTGTTTTCAAGCTAGTAACAAATGCCGACCGCTCCGTAGCCCTCGACTTGCGTGTCCCGACGGTTTGGGATTTGCATGTCGGAAATCAGTTCATTACAGGGCACTCGCTCTTGGTTGTGTTAACAACCTGAAGACCTTCATTCGCAGCCCACCCGAAGAGGTGGTTGAGAAGGCAGAGAGCACTAGAACGCTCTGAAAGAAGTGCCGGGAACCAGTGGACACCTGGGCAGCTTAGCCCGAGACACTGTTTCCAGCGGCCGTGGTGAACACGAGAAGTTCCGTGGGATTTGCACTGTTTGACATGCTTTGCAATGCAATGACTAGATATTTAAAATCCGTTGCATTGGCATGCTTGAGAGAGCAGAAAAAGAACTTTCACAGGTACATCTGTTCGCACGCCTTGGCGTACTTGGTGGAGCACAGCAAGCATTTGTAACAACCTACCAGGAGAAGAGGTGCCGTGCTCCCGCAGCCCCGAGATTCGGATCCTTTTTTCCACGAAGGCTTCGAGTAATTGGGGAGAAGGTGGGAAGGAGATTCGTGCCGCAGTGGCTGCCGCAATGGTGCCATCCCTGACTGACGACCCGGCTGCTTTGCAGCACCACATGAAAAAGCTTCGGCGTTCTTCTCGTGATGCTTCCGCCTCCAGTTCAGCATGTGCAAAACATCTGGACACAGCTGGCATATCTGCTTGCTAGCCGTGCGGCAAGCACGGTCAGGTCCGGCATCTTCTGCGGCTTGTTTTCATGCGACTGACAAACCACAGCGGCGACTTGCTAGCGAGTTAGTCGGTCTTGTCGACAGAATCCTCAAACCCAGCTCCCAACGCATGCTCTTCAAACATCCCAAAGACAGGATGTGCGACATGGGATGGCAAGCGCGTGTGAATCGCACTCGGAGTGGCTTGCAGCTTCCAGTGGCGGCCTCCAGCCCACGGGCCCAGAGGCAAGCAGCGCGGGTTCTTCTGACCTCTGATCTCAAAAATCCGACGCCACGCTCGCACCTAAATTTCGTCAATTTGTTTGCCGAACACCTAAATGCTTGCAGCAAAAGTGTTTGCGTGAAGGGTTTGGCGATGTGCTTGTTAAGGTGCCACTGCATGGCCATTACGATGTTGCGTAGTATGCCTGTCGTTTACAGAACTGCTGCCGGCAACTGGGTTGAGTTGAGGCTCCTATGGTGGTAGCAGCATTCAGATGCCAAGATGCCAAACGAACTGCTATTGTAGCCCGCACTCCACAAACCAGACAGCACTCAATCACCAACAGAGCTCAGTGTTATTTCCATTTCAGCAATGCTCTTGAGTTCTGTAGCGATGCATTCATCTTGGGCTGAGCTGCCAAGACTGCAAGCGTGAGGCCAGTGCCATATCGTTGGTCTTGCAAATCTGTCACTGGCAAGCAGGCGGTTGCTGGCTTTCGTCGGTGGCAAAGCTTCTGCCGGTGACCTAGAGGACGGTCCAGCTACACGATTACACGATTGGGTCCGCACGGCCTGCATGTTTCACCTTGGGTGCTACGTTGCAGGACCTGGCCTCGGAACTTCCAGGCGCGGTTTTGCGATTTTGTCGCTTCAATGTGCATTGTTTTCCTCTCAAATCTTATTGTTGCTCCCGGCGTGTCCGAAGTATGTGTATTACTCCTTTCCAAGCCCCTGAAACAGCAATGCTATGCTCATCACTGAGTGGGGTCTATCTGTCTCTCTCTCTCTCTCTTTGTCTGTCTGTCTCTCTGTCTCTCTGTCTCTCTGTCTCTCTGTCTGTCTGTCTCTCTGTCTGTCTGTCTCTCTGTCTCTCTCTTTCTCTCTTTCTCTTTCTCTCTTTGTCTTTCTCTCTTTCTCTTTTTCTCTCTTTCTCCGTTTCTCTCTTTCTCTCTTTCTCTCTCTCTTTCTCTCTTTCTCTCTTTCTCTCTTTCTCTCTTTCTCTTTCTCTCTTTCTCTCTTTCTCTTTCTCTCTCTTTCTCTCTCTTTCTCTCTCTTTCTCTTTCTCCTTCTCCTTCTCCTTCTCCTTCTCCTTCTCCTTCTCCTTCTCCTTCTCCTTCTCCTTCTCCTTCTCTTTCTCTTTCTCTTTCTCTTTCTCTTTCTCTTTCTCTTTCTCTTTCTCTTTTTCTTTCTCTTTCTCTTTCTCTTTCTCTTTCTCTTTCTCTTTCTCTCTCTCTGTCTCTGTCTCTGTCTCTGTCTCTATC